CAGTTATGATTTGCATATCATTAAATATACTGAATAAATTAGATATTTACATAAATGTATACTACGATGTTTCTGCAATCGAGTGTGTATATATATATATATATTATATAGAGCCAATCTTAATTCCCACATAAGAGTAGAACAACAAAAGGCTATTAACTGTTTTACTTACTGATCTAGAACAAAGGCAACCCCATTCCACGATGAAATAATTATTCCCTTCTTCTGGGGCGCAAGGACTTATACGAACATATTTAATCGGTCATTGTATATTATATACTAATCCAGGCAAGACAAAAGAAAAATGGGGACATATATATATATAAGTATATATATCCGATAAATGTCAGAATTTTTGAGATCGGGTGTATATATATACACACACACACTGAATCCCTAAAACTTTGACAATTTAGCGATATATATACATATATGTGTATCCCATTTTTTCTAATTGTCCTACCTGGATTTTCAAGGAAGGACAATAGGAAAAAGGGGATACATATATATGTATGTATATCGCTAAATTGTCAAAGTTTTAAGGATTCGGTGTATATATATATATACACTCGATTGCAGAAACGTTGTAGTATACATTTATACAAATATCYCATTTATTCAGTATATTTAGTGATATGCAAAACAGAAAAATCGCTTTATTTATTGTTTGTAGTGTTTAAAAAACGAGTAGGAGTGTTTTATCAGCTATAAAAGCACGAGGCGTAGCCGAGTGCTTTTATACCTGATAAAACACGATCTACGAGTTTTTTGAACTGCTTAAAACACTCATGAACAATTTATAAGATTTTGGTTCAACTGGAGCCACCATACACGTCACGAACATGGATTTTTATACTTCGATAGAGATTTGACGTCACGGGCATGCGTAACCAGATTCAATAGAAGCTCCCACACGTTGGATATTGCGTGCCAAGGCAAAGATAGGCACGTTAGTCAAAGATCATTAGGGTTCCTTGATGGAGCTCTAAGTCTTCATCTAAACTTGGATGCACACTTCATCCCTGATGAAGTCATCCTCATAGTATTCGAG